TAAAGCCATGGACACCCGCGCTTTGGCTCACCCGCGTTCATTCCTTCGTAATCTGACCTATCGTATTCCTTTGCGTTGTGTACCCCGCAATATTTCGGCATACCCCTCATGCGGTTCGTGGCCCCATAGGGAGCGCCACCGAAGAAGGCATTCACAATTGCGGCACTCACAACTGCATATGGTTGGGTCTTTCGACAGGATAATTCTCTGCAGTAGATGGAGCCGGTTTGCATGACGTTCGGTTTTGTAGGAATCAGGGCTTAGTAATTATAGGATAAGAGACTCAGCTAAAGCTAAAGCTAAAGCTAAGCGAAAGCTAAAGCTAAGCTAACACCAAGCTGAAGCTAAGGTAAAACTAAGCTAAAGCTAAGCTAAAGCTAAGCTAAAGCTAAGCTGAAGCTAAGCTGAAGCTAAGCTAAAGCGAAGCTAAAGCTAAGGCTAAAACTAAGGCTGCAGCTCCCAGGGGACTGGGGGGAACCGCGGGGCGGGGACTGGGGGAACCGCCCGGGGCGCTTTCCACTGCCCGGCCCCTTTGAGCTAGAGAGTAAGAACCCTTCTAGGCAGAGCCTAGGTAGGGAACAAAACCAACAAATTCACAGTGGTCTTGTTCTTCTACGCACTCCCCAAGAACTTCTATCTACTACCACTCATACCTCCCCACCAGCCAACGCGCGACCTTCCGAACACGCGCGCAAAGCCAACGCTCCAACGAGCGCAAGAATTGCACGATGGTCATATCTTTCTACGCCACCGGCTTACGTGCGACCGTCTGACAGCGTCTGCGCAAGGCGACCCCTCAAAACTACGTCAAAGTGTCGCGATGGTCCTGTCATTCCACGCCCCCGAAAATTCTCAACGAATGTCCACCCACTCCCGCGCTTCCCTCCCCATCGGCCAACGTGCGACCGTCTGGAAAGGCGCGCGCAAAGCGAACGCTCCAATGACCGCCACACATCATGTCAAACATTTCGCGAGGGCAATTTTTTTGCACGCCGCCGACTTACGTGCGACCGTACGAAACCGCGTGCGCAAAGCGAACACTCCGCGACGAAGGAACGCGGGCGTGACCAATTTAATTGCAGGCATACTTCGATCGGCGATACGCCCCGCGACGGGAGTAGAGAAGGAGCAGGGCGGAGCTCTTTATGGGGCCACGAAACGTGTGAAGCGCGTGCCCAAAATAGGGCGGTGCCGCCATGCGGACCTCGCCACTGGGACCTGAGGTGGAGCTCCGATGGGGCCACGAAACGTGTGAGGTGTGTGCCAAAATGGGGCGGCGCCGCCATGCGGATTGCGCCACCGGGGCCTGAAGTGGAGCTCCCTACGGGGCCACGAAGCGTGCGATGGGTGTTCCAAAACTGGGGCCGCGACGCCATGCGGACTGCGCAAGTGGGACTTGAGGTGGAGCTCGCTGTGCGGCGAATAAATCATGTGAGGGGTGTGCCATGTGAGGGGTGTGCCTAAATCATGTGGCGCCGCCATGCGGACCGCGCCACTGGAACATTAGGTGGAGCTCCCTACGGGGCCACGGAACGTGTGAGCGGTGTTCAAACTGGGGCCGCGACGCCATGCGGACTGCGCCACTAGGATTTGAGGTGGAGCCCCCTTATGGGGCCACGAAACGTGTGAGGGGCGTGCCAAAATAAAGCGGCGCCGCCATGCGGACTGCGCCAGCGGACTTCGTGTGAGGGGTGTGGCAAAATAGGGCGGCGCCGCCATGCGGACTGCGCCACTGGAACATTAGGTGGAGCTCCCTACGAGGCCACGAAACGTGGAGCGGTGTTCAAACTGGGGCCGCGACGCCATGCGGACTGCGCCACTGGGACCTTAGGCGGAGCCCCCTTATGGGGCCACGAAACGTGTGAGGGGCGTGCCAAAATAAAGCGGCGCCGCCATGCGGACTGCGCCAGCGGACTTCGTGTGAGGGGTGTGCCACAATGGGGCGGCGCCGCCATGCGGACTGCGCCACTGGGACCTTGGATGGAGCCCCCTATGGGGCCACGAAATGTGTGAGGGGTTGTGGCGATGACAATGATGGTGATGATGACGGCCATGATGATGATAATGATGATGATGATGATGATGACGATGACGATGACGATGATGACGATGATGACGATGATGACGATGATGACGATGACAATGACGATGACGATGACGATGATGATGATGATGATGATGATGATGATGATGATGGTGGTGATGAAGATGATGACGACGATCACGATGATGATGGTGATAACGATGATGGTGGGAGGAGGGAGGGAGGAGGGGTAGGAGGAGAGGAGGAGGAGGAGGACGAGGAGGAGGAGGGACGCGTGGCGCTGTCTCTTCAAAACGAGGACCCAACACCACAGATTTGTCGTCCAAAATCCGCCTGTAGGGGGACATGCCCGACCTCAGTGTAGTGCCTGGCCCGGGTCCCCCCCCGGGCCACCTAAGTGGGGTAGGGCCCGAGGCATCTCGTGCTCGCATCGCCGAGCGCGGGGCGCAAAGAGCCCAAAAGGCGGTCGTACCCATCGGTCGTTGAAAGAAGGTATTTCTGGATTCCCAGATTGCAATCTCCTTCAAGCGCCTTCCTACTTCAGCCGTCCTCCTTATGGGGGCGGGCGGAACCCAATCTGCTCTCACAGCTTTCCTGCTGCATGTGTCTACCTGCTTCTTCCGACCGCTGGGTACTGTTTGGTTCGGCCCCGACGGTGCTCCCCCGATTAAGGGGGGGAGGGGGAAACGACTGATATTTTCTCTGCTCTCCACATGTCAGGAGCGGAAAAAGGACGTACATGTACATGAATCCACGCTGGTTTCGAGAGTTCACACTGCGCAAATATTCGTATAACGCGGCCGGTCTCACGGATCGAGGGGCCGTGTTCATGTACATAGCTGGGCGCGTACGTCCTTTGTGGGCTCCCTAACATGTGTGACCGCCCGCCCGCCCGATCGCCGACGCCGACGCAGACGACGACGACGACGACGACGACGACGACGACGACGACGACGACGTCGACGACGACGACGACGACGACCCCCAAGAAGTGATTCTCCCACGGCTGGGCCCGCGGTCCGCATGCGAGTTTGGGGCCTCCTCAAGCGGGCTCCACTCGTGGACTCACGGCGTGGCGCCCCTCCTGCGCACGCGTCGATCCCAGTAGGTTCGCGGGGCCTCTCTCACTCACGAAACAGGATGTTGCCCCTAACCCTAATCACACGATGAATGCGTGGCCTAGTTTAGGTCCACCCTGGTTGAGGGCATCCCTACGCAGATGGGGTGGTTTCGTCTGATGCATCTGCAAAAAGACCCTTTATCATTCACATCACTGGCCCTCCGAGCTTGACTCCAATTCCAGATGAGCAGGGGACGTATGTTGCTTATCATTATCGTCGTGCTGGGACCGTGCTCGGAGCACCTGGCGCTCCGATGCGCTGTTTCCCCAAACTAGATTGTGGTGTTGGGTCCGCGTGTTGAGTCCCCAGCGCCCCGCGTCTCCCACCTCCCGCTGCCCCTTTCCTTGATTGCTTGCTCCTCTCCTTGCCTCTGCTCTCCGCATGTCTCGCTGGCCGCCTGCTGGTCCGTCCCCCCTTCTCCCCCCTCCCCGCCATCCTCTTCCCTTCATCCTCCTTCGAGACCATCCTCCTCCATGTCTCCCCTCCCCCTCTTTCTCCCTCCCCCTCCCCGCCTCACTCCCGTCACCCATTCCTCCCCTCCCCTCCCTCCGAGGAGGAGGAGAAGGAGCAGGATAGGTAACTCGTTGTCTTTTTTGCCTAGTCGGGGAAGGCTCGGACTCTCCTCGGCGCTCTTCTCGTGGCTCAGGAGGTTTAAGCCGTTCCGCCAACCCCCCACAGCAGTGAATTCGGTAAGAGTCGTGCCACTCTGCCTGGCCTGTTGGTCAGGAGCCCCGGGTGTGCATATGAGGGTCTCTTGCAATGCCTCTCGGGGGCCTCTTGGAGGGCTCCTGGGGGCATCTGATTGGCTTTGGTTGGGGGGCCTCTTGGGGGCGCCTCCGGGGGTCACGGGCGGGGAACTTCGGGCCATCTCGGAGGAAAAGACGATGTCAGGATGTCACTTTCATTGCCCCTCTTGGGGCACCCCTGGACAGTCTTGGGGGCCCCTGGGGCCGTCTTGGGTTCCTCTTGGAGGCCTCATGGGCCGTCTTGGGGCGATCTTGGGGGCTCCTTCGGCTGCAGTGGGCGCTGACAAGACGAAAAAGGCGTAGACGTCGAAAATCTTCAATTTCCAAACGAAGTTAAAGGAGTTGTGGCTCTTGGAGTCCTCTCAGCGGCCCCCCAGGGAGCACTCTTGGGTCGTCTTGGCGACCTCCTAGGCCGTCTTAAAGCCATCTTGGACCGTCGTGGGGTTACCCTGGGCCCTCTCGACGTTCTCTTCGATAGTCTCGGCGCTCATTGGGCCGTCTTGGAGCTCTTTGGAAGCTCCAGAGAGCCCCCGGAGTGCGTTGACGAGCTCGTTCCCCCATCCCCCCCTCCCGTGGACTCGGAAGTCCCCGTCGCTTTCCTCATCATTATTATTATTATTTTAGTATGATTATTATTATGATTATTCTTATTATTATTATTATTATTAGTAGTAGTAGTAGTATTATTATTAGTAGTAGTAGTATTATTATTATCATTATGTGTATTATCACTATGATTATTATTATTATTATTATTATTACTATTAGTATTAAAACTATCATTATTATGATTAGCATTAGTATGATTATTCATATTATTAGTATTAGTTTGTATTATTAGTAGTATTATAATTATTATTATTAGTACTATTACTATTATTACTATTATTATTATTATTATTACTAGTATTATTATTACTATTATTATTATTATTATTATTGTTTTTGCCTCCCCCCTTCTCCTCTTCCTGATCCCCTCCCCCTCCTTTCTCCTCCGCACCCTCCCTTCTCCTCCGCCCCCTGCTACCATTATTCTTCTACTCCGTCTCCCCTCTCCGCTCCCCCTGCCTGTTGACACCCCCGCCGCAGGACGAGGTGCGCCAGCTCGCCAGCCAGCTCGGCATCGGCTCCGCCGAGCAGACGCCGCCGCCGCAGCGGCCCCTCGGCATCAGCCCCGAGCTGCCGCCGGCGTCGCCGCAGCGGCCCGCTCCCGGTAGCGCCGGCCTCATGGGAGGCCCGCCCAGTCCTCGCCCCATGCTCGCAGCGAAGCGTTCCCAGATCTCCGATGATTCGATCGCTTCTGTCCCGTGTCTTACCTGGGTCTCGACCTCTGGACCCACACCCCCGACGTCGTGACTTTTCCACAACGTCGACTCCCAGAGGTCTGGACCCTTCCCCAGGACCGGTTTTTCATCCTGAGTCGTTTTTCGGCGGTCCCGAGGCCCGGCAAGAGCCCCCAGAGGCCGAAAATTGCAAAAAACCTCCCGTCGTGATTTTTTTCACAGCGCGCGGGGTTTGGGGAGGCCGGTTTCAGGCCCCGGGGCCCCCAAAAAAACCGCTCCAGCCTCGAGCCTGCCAGTCCACACGGGTCGGTCCAGTGCAGTTTCCGCCGAGCCCGTGCGGCACGAGGCCGCTGGGGCGAACTTCGATGGCGCTCGGGGCCCCCGTCGCGGCGAGCTCGCCGCCCAATCTTTCTGCGTCGCTGCTTGCGCCGGATCGATATGTAAGGGTCCCGGAGCCGAAGATGAACGAAAACGCCCGTTGTGGAAATTTGCAACGCCAGGGTCCCAGGGTTCCCACGCGGCGTATATGAAAAAAGCCCCGTCTCGCAGGGTGAGGGTCTCTGGACCTCCCAGATGGGGTCGGAGCAGATGGGGTCGGAGGATCGCGCCGCATCGCCGATGCATCGGCGATGCAGCTCGATGTGGAGCCCGATCTTCTCCAGGTGGGGAGGTCCGGGTCGCCGTCGCAGCCTCGGCCGTCGCTCCGCCGTCGCCGCCCGCTCGAGCGCTCGCGCCGCGGCAGGCGCCGCCGCCGGCCAGGCCCTGTCGCTGCCGGCCCCGCGCCGCGTGGCCCCCCTGGGGAGCAGCCCGGCCGACGGCGCGGCGCTGCAAGCGCGGCGCGCGCAGGGACGGCAGCGGCCTTGACCTCCTGGGAGGGCCGAGAAGTCCTCGAGCCTCGAGGTTTCCAGGAGACCCCCGGCAACGGGCGGGACCCCCAGCCCCCCAAAAAACTCCTCCTCCTCCTCCTCCTCCTCCTCCTCCTCCTCCTCCTCCTCCTCCTCCTCCTCCTCCTCCTCCTCCTCCCCTTCCTCCTCCTCCTCCTCCTCCCCCTCCTCCTCTCCCTCAGCCGTTCTTGCACAGGCGCTGGCCGTGTGCTTGCAGCAGCATACATTCAGAACGGCCAGGTGCTGTTGCGAGCCTTTGGTTTTCCCAGACGGTTTCAGTTTGAGGGATCTCAACCCTCACCCTCTCGGAGGGTCAGACACCACGACTTCATTCCTCAGATTGTTGGCGCCATGCCTCCTCATTGGGACAGTGCTGCTACACCGCCTTGGCGTCAGAGGCGATGGGGTGGCTCGTGCCGCCTTCACTCAGCGGGCCAAGCTGGAGGAGGGACAGTTTCGGAGAGCTGGAGTGACGGATGCCACACGATCGCCAACAGCAAAGGAGACATGACATGCAATCATTGCGGCTGCAGAAAGAATCACAAGGGCGCCTTGCACTGCAAGCACTGCGGTGCACGCTTGGAAACACATCCGCCAGAGTCTGATCTCGGTGGCGGGCTGCCGTCCAAGAGTGATTCCGACACGAAGGGGAAGGGCGGCAATAAGGGTGGTGATGTCAAAGGGGGAGGAGGCGGCAAGGGCCCAGGCCAGTCTGGCCCATGCCTTCCACATATGCCACCGGGCCCCCTCCCCTCGATCGTTCCCGATAAGGCCCAGGCAATGCAGCGCCTGGAGCACAAGAAGCAGGGGATGAGCAGGGCGCCCGTCGCTATGCAGCGTTTGCTGCGAGAACCCCAGCGGGATCAGCGACCAACGCCCGCCAGCGCCTCACCCACGCCGAGAAGAAGCAGCATCAGCTGGAGAAGCAGGTCAGCTACGAATCTGACAAGCTCCAGAGGTGGCGAAAGGACGTCGCTGACCTCACTGCCAAGGTCAAGCGCGTTGAGAATGAGCCCCAGACTGCCGACAGGGATGTTCGGGACGTCCTCGAGGAAATCCAGAAGCTCCACGGAGGACGACCAGAACCAGTCAAGCCGAAAGTCAGTCTGCGTCACCTGGTGGAGGGCAAAGTGGATTTGGGTTCTACCACTACTTGTGAAGATTTCATCTTCGATCTGGATCAGATCAAGGAGCCCTACGACACCGGCGACAATGATATCAACGAGCTGGAGAGGAGAAAAATTGAGGCGGCTTCTCAGATGCAGGCTGCACTCAAGAACCTGTTCAAGGAGGCCGCGTGCAAAGCTGACGCTCAACGAGACGAACACAAGAAGCACACGGAGCGCCTCGACGGGAAGAAGCGCAGATCGGAGCCTGTCTCAACCCCTGATGGAGGCAAAGGGTCCGCTGGATCCTCAGGGGCGGCAGCGCCCGATGACCAGGCCGCGGCTACCGCGCGGGCAGTTCCAGCCCCCCCCCCCCCTCGGGATAGCCAGCCATCCCAGCCTCCTCTCCAGGAAGACATACGGACCAGGGTTGCTAAGGATGCGAATGTGCAGAGCTGCCCGCAGCCTCTTTCACAAGCATCGAGATTGGCATAGCGGATAGCCTTGTTCGGGCAATGATTACGACTTCTCTTCTACATTGACCGTTTGCTCAAGTATCGGATCTGCTGGACTACGCGTCGGAACGACTGACCGCGGTGATTGCGAGGAAGATGCCAGCGGCCGTCCATCTACATCGGCTACACCTACGCGCGCGACGACTGGGCCCTGCAGCCTTCCCCCTGAGAAGGCTGAGACTGCCCCGCGGCGCGCGCCCTGCGCCGACCCGTGGAAGCCTGCAAAGGCTGAGACGGCTCTCGGTGCAATAACCCCGCGCGGCAGAATCACCGGCGGAGTGGCGGCGCCGACGCTTGGGCCCTCTCGGGCGACGGCATGCGCGGGCTACTCAGACGGCGCGCCCGCAGAAGGTCTGCGGCCAAGTCAACGGCTCCGCTGGCGACTTGGCCACGCCCACTTACGGCGGGAAGAGACCCCCACGCTTCATCAAAGATCTGCCCCAAGCTTCGAAGCCCAATGAGTTGCCAGTTGTTGGCTCTATCCACCCCGGCGCTGAGAAGGGGTGGATCATGTGCGCACGAAATCTCTCGACGCGGGGGCCTGCTGCGCGAGGTTTTGCCCAGGGGCGGAAATATGGCGACGAGACGTCGACGGGGGCTCGCACTGACGAGGGCGGCGTTGACGAGCTTCTGCGGCACCCGAAGAAGAGTGGACACTCAGCGATCTACACACCGTCGCGCCCCGCGGCCGCGACAGAAGTCTGGCGGAGTCGTCGTTGGCCTACGCAGCTGTCTCACGATGACCCCATTTCGGCATCTGGCTTCGAACAAAGCACATCAGGTCGGCATGAGGGACATGACCAAAACCAAGGGGGACTTGGATTTGTTTGATTTCGCCTTCTTTTCCAACCACGCGTTCGGCGGCAGCGCACTTGACGACTTCCAGCGGGCTCAAGGGAGTCCGTCTCCAGAAGTCAGCTCTTCTTGGCAGTTCCATTCAGAGCTCAGGCACCCCCGGGCTATACTTGGAGATTACAACGTGACGCATTCGAAACTAATGGAGCCAGACTGGCCCACCATGATTGGCGGAGTCCCTGTCGTTCCCTCCGATGTCTATCACACTTGTACGATGGCTTCAGGTTCCCTGATACATTATGGGGCGGCTTCCCCGCGCGCGAGGCTGGTGGTAGATTGCTTCTATCACTGTGGATTCTAATGTCACCATGGCCAGGAACGCAGTGGCGGGCAAGGCGCACTACGGACTTGTCATGCAGATCAAAGCAAGGGCTGAACTGGCCTTGGCCTCCTCGCACCCCCTGCCCGCCGTTTCCATTCATCAGCCTCTGCCGCCCAGGAAGCCTGACCCAGCCAGCGAGAGGTCCAGGGCCAACAGAGGCAAAATCAAGTCTCGAGGCGAAGCTCTGCACCAGGCCAAGAAGGAAGCGGATACCACCTTCAGGCCGCAAGCCCCAGGCTCACCCCCGTCCGCGCCTGGTCTTCGCCGACTTGGAAGAAGAATCTTCGGCCGACGAAGAGGAGGGGGGGGGGCCAGCACTGGGCCCCGACCCAGAGCTTCGCGATGCCCGAGCGCAGCTGCCTGAGACATTTCAGAATGACCCAGCTGAGCACCCTCTCTTTTTTTGGGGCAATGATATGTGGCACTCTCGTGCACCAGGCTGGGCGCAGGTGCAGCCTGCGACATGTATCAAGGAATCTCCGGCTTTCGAGGTCGACTCCAAGGCTGTCGCCGATTTGGAAAACCAGCGCGCCAAGTGGGTCACCAACCTCGAGGAGTTCGACATCCAGTGCCACAACACCCCCATGGAGAAGAGTCGGTCTCACAGCGGACGCGCCAGGACGAGGCCGTTTCGCATCGCGCCCACCAAGGGGGGGCAAGGGTTGTCAGATGCAGACCGACCCAGCAGCCAAATGGCGGACCCAATTTGTTTCCCATCTTCAGGAGCTGCTGCGAGCGGATGGAGATGGAAGGAGAGAGCGGTTGATAGTTGCGCGCATTAGAGACTTGCCATTTTACCTACATCGACTGCTCTTCCCCTCCCAGCCTCTTCTCGGCGCAAACGGAGCGGCATCTTGCACAAGACGCAGGATTGCGGGCCCACGCAGAGGGAGTGGTTTCTGCAAGCGGTGGAGAACAACGCAGAACGTGCGCAGCGTTTCTCAGCAACGGCAGCGCGAAGAGGTCTTGATTCATGGATTATTTCGACGCCTTCGGCTTTATCTGGCAGGCTGCAGGATTGCATCAGACACCCCGCAGTCACCATCAACGAGATTACTGCAGCACAGGACGTGATCACCAACCCACTAGCAATCATGAGGGTAGAAATGAAATAGTGGCAGCAGCAATGGGCTAGTTCTCGATTGGTTCCAGCCAGAGTTGTCGATGCCTACCGCCGCGCACAGAGCAAGGCAAAGGACGCCGACCTAGAGCCCATCGCGGTGGAATATCATAGGGGGGCCCTCATGAGTATTTCCCCTAAGTAAGAAAGCTAGAGGATGCGAAGCTCTCCGCATCAACGGCCTACGCCGACTTCCTGATGATGGGCCCCAGGATCCCATTAACTTGTGCCATCAAGTGGGGCAGCGAGTTTCATGGCCTTGTCAATTTCTGACGGTCTTCATCCGTCTTTTGCCTAAGTCGACGGACGACGATCGCGCCATTGGCATCGCGGCTCTGTTGGTTCGCGTTTGGGGAGCTATCCGCAGCCCGCTGGATCGCGAATGGCGCGAGAAGGCTGCAGGCCACTGGGGCGGCGTCATTGCCGGCCCCTCCTCTTCACGCGCAGCTGTCAGCTGCAATTGTTGGGGGCGAGGCGGCGAAGGCTCCGCCGCTCAAGGATCTCATTCACATGGAAGTTTGTTGCGACCTCAAGGCTTGTTTGCGATTCCTTGGACTGGCTGTGCTCATGAACGCCGCGAGCGGTCTTGATTTTCCCCTGCGCACCCTTGTCCCCACCGCGCAGCAGCGTTTCGCCCCCCGCATCCTCAAGGAGTCGGGGAATTTTTCGTGCTCTACTCAGCCGCGACGCGCAATGGTGGCGGGCTTGCGTTCTGCAGCGGATATTCCAAGATGTCTTCTTTTTCGCGCGCTGGAGAGAATGTGCAGTTCCATCGGGTTGGCCACAGCCAAGTCATAGGTGGGTGATTAAATTACGAGAATAGTTGCACCAGAGAAGTTTGCGGTCAAGCAGCTCGCTGGCGTTTCTAATTTGTCATCGGAATCGCACAAGAAGCTGGGCAGCACCATCTCGCCCAAGCCGTCATCCCCAGTTCCAGAAAGGCGGCGGGTTTCCTGCTCGAGTCCAAGCCGAGGGCCCTCGGCCTCAAGGCCCCGCCCAAGGAGGCCACGCCCCGGATCTTGGCACCGATCGAG